CGTTGATACGTCAAATGCGTGGTGCAAAAATATTCAGTATTTTGGACCTTAAGTCGGGATACTGGCAAGTACCACTTAACCAAAACGCTCAAAAATACACCGCATTCCGAAAGCRTCGARGTCTGTATCAATTCCGAGTCCTCCCATTTGGCCTCAAGAACAGCCCCATGACCTTTGTACGTTTAATGGACGAAGTATTGAGGGGGTACCTAGATGAGTTCGTCCGCGTATATCTAGACGATATAGTGGTGTTTTCAAACACTACGGACGAACACCAGTGCCACTTGGACAAAGTTCTGGAACGTCTACAGCGACACGGGCTGACGTGCAACACCGAAAAATGTAGTTTTGGATCTACCGAAATCTCATTTCTCGGACACCTCTGACACCTCCAACGGTATAGATAAACAACCGGAGAAACTAGAGGGCATCATGCACTTTCCCACTTCACCAACCAAAGTTAGGGACTTACGGAAGTTCCTGGGCGTCTGCAACTGGTACAGCCAGTTTGCGACAACTACGCGGACACCACTCAAATTCAAGTTAACCAGATGGGCACTACAACTGGCTAACCTGTACTACCAAACCACGCATGTACCCGGCGTACAGAACGATGCACCGGACATGCTATCACGGAATCCGGCTCCCGGGCCCCCGGTAAACGAGGAACACCTCGAGGAACGACTAGTAGAAGTACCCACACCACCACTCACCACCTCATCACGCATCACCACTACTAGCTCACCGGCCGACAACCTCTTCGCCACTACGGACCCGGACAAGTCGACTAACGACAACATCATCACACACGCTATGCTCGCGACATGGCAGGCCAATGACCCCGAAACGCGGAACATAGTGGACAACAGGACACCGGACAAGCCGGCGCACAACACCAGAAGCACCACGGGAAAAAGTAATCAATACATTTTTACCGACGGTCTTCTGCGAATAAATTTGGGCGAACACACACCCGTAGTCGTACCAAACGACAAAGCGCAGAATGTGATCTGGAGACACCACGACCACGTCCTCGCAAACCACCCAGGTTGGAAAGAAACATACAGGGCGGTAAGACAGCGTTTTTTTTTGGAAAGGCCAAAAAAACGACGTCCGACTGTATGTCAAGTCATGCCACATTTGCGCGTGTACCAAACCACTGAACACGCGCGCAGATGACCCGATCACCACCAAAACACCTCGACACCCTTGGGAGGTAGTTAGCATAGACCTCATGGGCCCCTACCCATGTACGAGTAGGGGAAAATAATATTTACTGGTCGCCACGGACTTATTTAGTAGATGGACCGAAGCATATCCGCTCGGAACAGCCACTACCAAAACAATAACCGAAACTCTTGAGCGAGAGTTCTTTTCACGTTTCGGATACCCCCGTGTGTGTTACACATTCACGCGGTACTGTGATTTACGAATGTTTATTTTTTTGTTTACACTCGAAAATAAACG